ATCCTGAGAATACCTAGAAAGCTTAGGGTTTCTTCAGGTTTCTGGTCCAGTTGGCAGTGAGGCAGGCTGGTGGGGCAAAGTCAGCCAAGTTCCCCAGGCATACACGTGAAGGTGCTGAGAACTTCCCATAGCCCTTGAATTAGGTTTGTCACTAGGAACCTGTGTGCTTGAGTTGGGAATTTGGTATTTATTCGAATTCTGATCTAAAATTCCATGGAATGTGTTAGCTCCAAACAATGTTAAGGTAGCTCTTATTTCATGATTTCACAGCAATGTTGAACATCAAGCTGCAAAGGCTGAGACTATAGTAGGCAATCTGGTAGACAAAGTGTATGTGGTAATATTAAGAATATCTAGGGTATGCTCAATTCTAAATAACAGGATTCATCAATGCTTCATTTACATATTCTTATTTGTATTAAACTAATATTCATTTTTTACTGTGTCAGGTACTACAACGAGCTCTATGCACAAACAGCAGATGTGATTTCTGACCTCTTGGAATCCGATTCAATTCATGGTTATGTAATATCCCTTAATTCCTACAAAGCAAAAATAGAATGGGTAGTGATTTAATGTAGTTGGAAATGCTAACGTAAGGTTGGGGGGAGGGTCAGGAAATTATTCCTTTTATTTATTTATTTATTTATTTATTTATTATTTTTTTTAAAGATTTTATTTATTTATTCATGAGAGACAGAGAGAGAGAGAGGCAGAGGGAGAAGCAGGCTCCCAAGGAGCAGAAAGCCTGATGCGGGACTTGATCCCAGGACCCTGGGATCATGACCTGAGCCGAAGGCAGACGCTTAACCATCTGAGCCACCCAGGCGCCCCAGGAAATTATTCCTTGAGTAAGTGATATTTACAGTGATGTAAAATTTTGTGATACATTGCTAGTTGTTGGGAATATGAAGATAAACATGGCATAGTCCCTGTCCTTGAGGAGATCACATCTAGGGAAGAGATGTGCAAACCACTAACAGTCCTCTGTGAGATGTGCTCTATTAAAGCATATTAATTACTGTGGATCCTGGAGGTTAGGGGTAATTTGGTTTGACCATCTCAGGAAAGACTGTATGAGATGAGATGGCTTTAAGTGTGGGTTTTGAATCACAATCATTTTGAAGGCTAAGGAATATTACCAGGCAATCAAGACAGGAAATCATATAGCAAGTAATGGCTAGGAGTAAGAAAAAAAATCCAGTGTGTTTGGCAAACTCTAAGTAGAAGGGAAGGCCTAGGAAGGCAGTTGGCCAAGGGTGAGATTGTGTATAGAGTGGGATGGTAAAACTGAAGGCGTGTGAAATACTGTATTAAAGAGTTTACACTTCTCTTTTAGGAGTGGAGGAGCCATTGGAGTATTTTAATTAGGAGTTTGAAATCAATTTGTGTTTATAGACTGATCATTCTGAGTGCAAAAGGAAGGATGGATTTGGTTTATGGAGAGGTGGGATTCAGAGAGACTGATTAGAAGGCCATTGCAATAGGCCCTAAGAGAGGAGGGCAAAACTTCAGCTGTGGCAGAAGCCAGGGAGATTTAAAAGATTTAGGAGTGAAAATCAATGCTAATTGAAGACCGACTGGCTAGGATAGCTGAAGAGGAGAGAGGATTCCAGAATAAGTTGGGATTTCTACCTTCTGGGTAATTTACGGTATGCATAGAGCCATTGCCAGCTAGTAGAAAAGCTTAAGATTTGGGGTTTGAATCCTGGCTCTACCGCTTACCAAGTAACCACTTGGAAGAAGTGACTTAAACTCGCCTAGCCTCAGTTTTCTATGTCTATACAAAAATGGCTGAAAATAATTTTGTGAGATTTATGGGAAGATAATCATGAAAATGCTTAGTGAATTGCTTTGTCCATAGTCGGCATTCAACACGTATTTTCTTCAGTTTTAGGCATGATGAGTTTAAAGCTGTTATTTTATGTCTAGATGGATATATCCAGTATGTATTCAGAAACAGAGGTTGAGGCCTTGGGAAGGGGGTGCAAATAAAAGCCTAAGAATTTGGAGATGTAATTATTAGATGATAGTTGAAATCACTTGACTGTATGAGATACCATCAGGTATAAGAAAGAAAAGATTTGAAGTAGATTCTGTGGTGCTCAGTATCTAAATAAGTAGGCAAAGGAGGAAGAAGACCCTCCCCAAAGTAACTAAAACATGGTTTAAAAAATAAGATCAAAACCTTGAAAATAGGAACAAACATAAGAACAAAACTTGCCTCATGTAAGAGGTGTGCTTTAAGAAAGAAACCATTAGCACTCTGACAAGTCTTAGAACTGACAAGTAACTTGAGGAATAAAGAGAACTCTTTGAATATAACAATTAAGAGATCACTGACGACCTTAGAACAATTTCCATATGGTGGTGAGGAGCAGAATGAGGTGATTTGAGGAAAGATTAGAAATGAAGAAATAAAAAGATATAGAATGCTCTTTTAAGAAATTTGGCATGGCAGAAATTTGGTAGGCAGAAATGGCTAAAGGATAAAGAAAAGAGGCCTTAATTTATATTAATAGACACTGAGAGAAAAGATCTAGTATTGAAGCAGAGGGAGATGGGTGATTGGAGATAAATAAGGAATATTCTAGAAGAAGCTGCAGCTCAGGAAATATAAGTATAAATCATTTTGTGAAATATAAATCACAAAAGAATGCATTTGCCTGAGATGGTAGAAGGTACAACCTCCCTTTGAGACAGAATGCGAAGCAGTAAGGTTGGAAAGACTATTAATAATTGGAAATTAAGAAGTTTCCAGTATCTACCCAGCTATTGTTTTATCCCATTATTTAGCTTTTATTTTTTGTATTCTAATAACATGTTTTGAGTACCTTAACTGGATTGCCTAGTACCTTTTAATGTTATCTCCACATAAAATGATTTATTAAATTTTCATTTAGTAAAAGCCAAGTGAAACCTCACCTCTGTCCCTTTTTTTTTCCCCTGAAAAAAGACAAAAAAAAACTTGGAAAATACTGATTCTTAATAAAGTAGCCCCAAGAATGATAGGGTTGCAGAAAATTACACTATTTGTGCCAGAGTCTCAGACTTATCAGAGAAATATATTATTCTAATGATTTATAGATTCTACAGAAATATTAGAGCTAAGCTTTATGCAGTGTTGACATCAGGACATTGGAGTATATTTTAGCTCTTAAAATATGATTGTTCCAGTAATAAAATGATTTGTATTGTTTCACTATTGCTATAAATGAATTTTTGGTTGAGTGCTTGTTGGAAAACGGTTTTACATATCCTTTTTACAAATGTTAACTGTTAGCTCAAGCTTAAATTAGGATTGAAAGCAATTAATTTTGTATCATGTTTACATTTGAAAACAGAAGTACCACAAGACCTTTCCTAGTAGATGAACCCATAGTTTAATTAGATCATCATCATTTTATTGTATTACAAACACATAAAACATAACACAACCAGCCCCTCCTCATACTGGCGATTCTGGAAATGATAAAGACCAGGCTCTGGATTTATATTATAAAGTAATTACAGTAAATTCTTCAGGTGGAGGGATCATACACTCGAAAAAAATAGTCCTAAAACTGATGGGAATTCAACACAAGGTCAACATCTCAAAGTCTCTCAAAGGAGTAAGACTATATAGAACAGTTATATTTAATTTTACCATCGTGAGGGAATTTGTAGTACTCTCTCCTTGGTCTTCATCACTTATTCTCTACCTCCTACCTGGATGATCTCAGTTATATTTTCAGGGTCACAACTTGCTTTGTTCAAGTGCTTTGAAATACATTTCATTAGCTTTGATCTTCTTGCTATATTCTTAAATGTAAAGCCAAACAGTGAATATCTGTTTTTGATAGTGCAACAAAATCAATACTTAGTATTTTCAAAACTGAAATTGGGCCTTTTCCATCAAACTTACTTGTTCTCCTGTATTTCCTGCTTTAGTAAAGGATACAACCAAGTACCAGACACTTAATCTGGGAAGAGATCACAGTTTCACATTCCAGGTTGATATCAAAATCAACATGTTGTATTTCATTCTAGGCTTTTCCTTAAGCATGTGCTCATACCATTTAAATTTCTTTAAAGAATATTGGTAATTGTGGGCTATTTTTTCTTCCTATGTCAATACTGGTAATTTGTACTTGTATTAAAAGTATCCAGTTTATCCAACTATTAAAATTATTGTGAGAATTCAGTTAGCTATAGATATAAAGGACTTCATAGGCTGCCATCCATATAAGAAGAATTCAACAGAAACAACTCAAAGAAATAGAAATTAATATCCAATTCAGTCATGGAACATAGATTTAGAGGAAAATGGGACAATTCTCAACTACTCAGAATGAATATTTTGGATGTGTGTGTGAGATATCATGATGAAGATTAAATGTTATGTATTATCAAAGAAATTGTCTACATTGAACCATATATAAATATGGAAACAGTAACAAAATAAAAAGATAGAAATAAGCAGCCTTAGAAATTGAAATATTCATGGGGCGCCTGGGTGGCTCAGTTGGTTAAGCGACTGCCTTCGGCTCAGGTCATGATCCTGGAGTCCCGGGATCGAGTCCCACATCGGGCTCCCTGCTCGGCAGGGAGTCTGCTTCTTCCTCTGACCCTCCTCCCTCTCATGCTCTCTGTCTCTCATTCTCTCTCTCTCAAATAAATAAATAAAATCTTAAAAAAAAAAAAAAAGAAATAGAAATATTCTAATTACAGCCATTGATGAGAGTTACCAACCATGCATTTTTTATTATCATGCAGTGTATTATCTTTATGTACATTGCAACATACCAGCATTCCATTCTGTGCAACTCTGGGTATATCATTTGCCCTTTCATTGCTTCCATTGCCCCAGGATAGCATAAGGATCTTTATTAGAGAAACTCTATTTCAGTTTTAAAATACTACAACTTTATGACCATAAAACAGCTTAATTCTGAGTTTTCCATTCTGGGTCAACACTTAAGAGAATTGTGAAAGACCTCCTGTCTGTGTCCATGTATTTATTATCTGATTCCAAAATCATCCTTCTCATCTGTCATCCTCATTAATTCTTCAAGTTCCTTCTCCAAATATTTCTTTAATGAACTCCGTATTGCCTTCATTTTCCTCCGATGAGACACACAAATATGGAATCTAGAGTAGAGAAACATAATCCCCACTTCAGTATTAGTAGGCCAACTCTTAAAGACAATTACATAATCATGTTTTCTTTCCCTTTTTCTGGATACTGCTCCAGTAGTTGTCCTCATACTTAATTGTACCTCCTCCATTTCCTGTGGTTCAACTTTTATCCCATAAACTTCTGACCATTTCATTCCTGTCAGTATTGTATCCCAAACTTTGAAATGACTTTTTTCCCCTTATTGCCATTGGAGGGGCGGGGGGAGGTTGGGTAGTCTCCTTGACAAAGGAATGCTTGACCCAGTGTGTGTGTGGAGGGAGGAAAACTCACAGTAACAAAGCACTTCCCAATATCACAACTTCTGTTAGCAATATCAGAAATAGTGCAATCTCTCGACTCTCAGCCTTTTTTGAATCCTCTTCTGGAGGGAGAAAGAGGAAAATAGAAAATGAGTTTGGGAGAGGAAAAATACTAACTTGAGAACTTGATCCATAATAGATGACTCTCTTTAGCATCAGATAATTTGCTCAAATAACATTTAATCTTCACCACTTCCATCACTGTTTACTAGTTATTCTGATCTTTATTACTCTTAGATCCTTAGGCTCTACAAAATGTTTGCCCTACTGCCCCTAGCCTAATTTCTCCACCTTTAGTCTGGTCTTTCCATTTCTCAGCCCTTCGGTTGATCCAGTGCCCATTAATTCATCCTGGTACAAATTTTGCCCAATAATTTAACTCTGATTTGTGACATTAGCATTATCTGCATAAAAGGTGCTCACCAAATATTTGTAGAATAAATGAATGGACAACTCAGTACCTTGATCCCTGGCCCCTCCAAATGCCATACTACAATCTTTGTTACCTCCGCAATACTCTCCTCTGAAGCATCGGGAGGTGATGCGAAGACAGGTCCAACAATCCAGGATAGGACCTTCAGTCACGACTGATAAAGAGAAGAAAAATAATGGAAGGGGGCCATGGCATGGAGTTTTCTTAGCTCAGACATCAAGTATGGATTAGATCTCAGGCATTTCCAGGACTCTTAATGTTACATTGCTGTGAATTTCTTCTTCCCCTAGCAATCAAATTTCTTGATGGGTCAAAACCTTCTGTAACTTAAGTCAGTTCTCTGGGGAAGAAGTGGGAAAAATGATGCCTCAGTGTATATTGGTCCTATGCGCTATAAGCTATACTTTAGAAGGCCTCTAAGCACCTCTAAACTCTTTGTATTTGAGATTTCATGAGATACATTTTGTTGTCAGGTCTGATTGACATTCCCACCCCCATAATCCCAACTCTAGGAACTGGGTTCTCAGTGTGACAGGTGGGAGAGATATGGCCATATAGAGCAAATGAGATGGGAAAATATGGAGGGAATTCTTAAGGTGTCCCTGGTACTGTACTCACCGCAATCTTCAGAACAAGCTAAAAGAGAATCAGAAAGTTCTAATGAGCCTATAATCAACTTAGAGTTTGCCATATTTGTACCCAATAGTCTTCATTTGGTTAGCCATGATGTGCCAGCCACCCCTCCATCCATTCTAAATAACTGTAATATGAAACCACCTTCCTCCTCTCACCCTCATTTCCTATTCCTTTCACATAATTTCAGTGTTGTTAGATAGACATCTTTTATTACCAACTTCAGAGAAGTTCTTTAATATCTCTTTCAGTTTGGATTCCAGGTTTTGGCGGACATCGAGAAGCTTGCCTTGAAGGATAAAGGCACCTAAGAGGGGATGGAATGGACATCAGAAACTAGGGGGTAGCCTTTCCCTTCAGAATTTAGTCCTAATTGTTTTGCCTGGTTTTTCCAAGGGAACTTTCCTTATACTTGCTTGGGCAATACAGTCTTTTATCACTGAAACAGTATCTCACCTTTCCATGTTTCATTGCCCAGTTTATAAAGCTCATTCTTCAGCCATATTCTCAACTTGATAACCTTATGAACAGCTAGAAAGGAGTAAAAGGTACATGTAGGGGAATAATTACATCTATGGAGGAAATTATGTGGACCCAAGTGCACTCTTCCCTGCCTCCCCTTCTCCCTTTAACCCACAAAACTCTCAGGGACTCAAACTTCCCTTACCCAACAGCCGAAGCATCTTGTCCCTGCGGGAGACCTTGAAGCTTAAATGGGTCATCTCCTTAATCTGCCGTTCAAGCAGATGAACTTGGCCGGGGACTTCTGAGGGTACCATCTTTGCCAGCAAGGACCTAATATCTTCTGTGAATTTGGGGTCACATTCCAAGCAGCCTTTGACCCCATGGAAGACTGCCAGGGACAGGGGCAGGAGCAGGAGCAACCACAGGTCTCCCATTTCCTTGCCCCAACAGCTGGTTGTCCCGGCAACTAGTTCACCTAGTTCCCTTTTCTTCAAAAATCCAGGAATAAGAGGTTTGTCCTGGATAGGCTGACTTCACCTTCCCCTCCATTTCCATCCCACTTCTAGGCAATTTCATTTCCCTAAGGATCTTCAGTTTTCTGACTTTTATCCTTCATTCCAGAAAGAGGGAACTGCCAGTTGGGAAGCAGATACCCGAGTTCTGAGTGTAGAACACAGAGAGAGAGAGAAATCTTGAGCTCAGACAAGCAAAGTTCCATGCAGAGACATACCTCAGAAAATGTTTTCTTCTGGTTTCTCCTTTACTTGTGTCTTCAGTAAATTCTCACATCCTTCCTGACCATAGGAGTAGTGTCTCAAGAAAGAGATCACATAGGACCTTAAAGACTGCTTAACCAAAATTCTGCTATAGAGGAGGTGAGGAAAGTCTGGACTATTTAGTTGCTTGGGGTCCCAGTCCCTGATGGTAGCAGTATTGTTGAAAATTAGTCATGGGTGTCTAGATGTAATTGATATCATTGATGATAATTTTGATGTAATTGATCACTTCTCAGAAATTTAGCCTATCTTTGTCTGTAGGATGATTTCCCAGCCATGCTATATAACCTTCTTATATCATTCTTCTTATAAGGAGTCTAAAGCAAGGACACCAGAAACAACCATTGAGGAATATATGGTGATAAGTGAGACTCCAGTAACACCCAGGGTTCATTAGTGGGTGCATCTTACAAGTACTAAGGATGAGATGTGAGGCATGTTAGAAAACAAGCACAGTTACCATGGGCTGCTGTCTCGGGCCACTGTGGAAGGAGCCCAGATACACGGTTCAGCTTAGGGCTCTTTGAATAAGAATGTTCTTTGTCATTTGAAGAAATTAAGGTTGCTTTACAGACTTTGCAGGATACCAGTAACAACTTCTCTGTTATATTGCTTGTATGTCTGTGACCTCCTGGAAACCAGGGAACCCTGGGATCTTAAAAGGTTAGTGGTAGAATTGAGAGCCTAAGGTATGGGAAAGTTAGGGAGTGAAAAGTTGTGAGGGAAGTACAAAGAACTACTACTAATTATATGCCTACCATGTGCCACATATGGGATGTGCTAAACACTTGTGATTATTGCAAGTCCTGATGGCACAGCAATACTTTGAGAAATTATCCCAATTTTATAGATAAGGCTCTGAGGCTCAGAAATGTGTCCTTTCTATAAAAGAATTTAGTAGTCATGGAATTAGGATTTGAACTCAGGTCTGTCTGATTCCAAATTCTATATACTTTATTCACTGCCTGTCAACATTTTCTGGGATAATGCAGAAAATGATTTCTTGGAATTTGATAAATCAGATGATTGCAAGGGAAGGAAGCAATTCAAATCCTCTGATGATCCAAATCCACACCTCTACTCTGATTTTAATTTCCCTTAGCTAGATGATCTCATCTTTAGATAATCCTCCAAAAGATTTGCACATGCTGAGGTCTGAAGGCATTTGAGGTAATGGGATTAAACTAACTCTGGAAACTAAAGTTGGAGACTAAAAGGGGCTAAGACTTGGCAGGCAGGTAGCCAGGTATGAGGAAAAACTGTTCTTTAAGGGAAAATATACATTATAGATGAGATGTTTTCCAGTTAACAGTACATACTTTCAGCTTGGACACTTAAAGAGAACGTGATGGTATATTACTAATTCTGTTTGGTGGCACATTATCTTGACCCAGACCATGTGCTCTACTATATTTATCCTTGCCTCATTCTTCCCACTTAATTTTCAGTCCAGGATTTCTAGGATGCTAGAAAAAATGATTCGACTTTCGGACAGTCTTGGGAAGACTGAACATAACAAGCCACTTTCTAAAAAGACAGAACTTGTAATTGAAGGGGACATATAAGAAGGAAAATAATGGAGGAAATAGCACCCTCATGGAGGAAACAGTAAACGGATAATAATAGCATGAGCTGATGATAAAGGCAGAGGTAAACACAGTTTGTACCTTCTATAGGAAGACCGAAAAGCACTAAATCTGGAGGAATTTCTTCTACAGAAGCTGGATCTAGGACACTAGAAACAGCAGTTAACAAATACATGGTGGGAAGTGAGAAACCCAGCAATATTTAAGATGCTTTAGGAGAAGCATCCTGAAAGTACTGATGATGGAATGGATGACATATAAGAAAATAACTACAATTATCCTGGGCTAGTTCTTTAAATTCAGTAGATATCAACTATTTGAAATTTGGAAAAGAAGAGCCATCTGGAAATTGATAATATAATGATCACATTACTTAATTAAAATAATGATACTTGTATCTAGGAGGCAAAAGGCTAATACTCAGATCCTTCATTGATTATGCTAATATTTGGTTTGGATTGGCATGGAGGGGATATGATTTATAGGCAGTGTGAATCTGTGGAATAGCTAACCAAACTCTTTATTTGCTTAGAAGAGTATAACAGGTATATAGTAGCAAATGCATGCATAATATTTTACCAAATATATATTTATTCATTTGTAATTCTTAGATAAGATTCCTGGGTTATTCACAGATAGAGTATATGTTGTATATGTTCTTTTTCTACAAAACAATTAGTCCTAATATTTAGTCCCTCTTAAGGGTTAGAATCAGTTGTTTTGTACCATTTGGCCTTTACTACAAATCAAATGATACACTGAGGTTTAAAAATCTAAAAAACAAGTCTCATAAAGAAGAGCAAGAAGCTTCTTAACAATAATTTTCCCTCAATCCATAGCAAATCTGATTCCCAGATCCATACAAAAAAATAAAAATAATGAATCTTTGTGGCTCAAGCTTCTTGTAGCTCTTTTCTTGTGAATTACTTTTCCCAGCTGAGCCCTGCTGCATGGTTTCCCCATCAGTAGCACTTCAATGGATGCCCTAGAAGTTTGGCAAATAATCCAGATACCCCTTGTAGTCAAGTGAGATTAAATTATTTCCTGACTATAATCTGGGACTAGGAAATGCATACTTAGTATCTGGCCATGTTATTAAGCTATCCATCTAGGCAGCATAATAATCATAATTTAAATGTTGAACTAATTGCTATAGTCCAGATCTTTCACATGTAAAGTGATTTTAATATTTTCTGTATGCCTGTCCATTTATATTCCATTGTCATTAAGCCAGTTTTTCTCCCCATAGTCCACTCATTCTTGAGAAGTCATAAGGTTGGAGCTTGGAAGACTTAGAAGGAATCGCTCTCTCTCTGTTAGGAAAGCAAATGAAAAGAAAAGCTGATCCTATCGGTAGGGATGGGAAGAACAGGGGAGACAATGGCCAAAGATGTATGTCATAACCTCTTCTCTCTAGACTAGGGTACCAGAAGGGGAGATTATATTAGTTAGGTTAAAGGGTATACTACAGGAAAGAGTCGCTTCTGTCCTGCATCCTTGAGGAACCACCAAGGCTACACCAGTTACTCACATGTGACAATTGTACCTGAGGAACAATAGTAGACCTGTCAGGATTGGCTAATAGAAGGCACTTCGGAGACCATGCTCGTACCCTGTGCTGTGGAAGCACCACTCTGCTTCCACCAGCTGCCTGCTAGGCAAGGATGTGCAAATGAGCTCAGGATCTGACTGGGAAACATGCCAGTGTGTATCGTCAAGGCTTCCAGTAGTGGGAGCCGGTCTGAAAGATGGAGAGCAAACCACTAGGTCAGGAAAGGAAAAAGCATCTGCAGCAAGCCCCAAGAACTTGATGGGGCCAAATTGTCAGGAAAGACCACGAGACCCCAAAGAAATAGAGAACAGGCCCAAAGTGCTCTGCATGCAATTTCCCAGAAGATAGAAGATTCAGAGATAGGGTGGTACCAAACTCGCCTTAGAAGATACCAACACATTAGCAAAGAATAAAACAAATATACTCAACTTTAAAAAAAAGTCATTCAAGAGAACACATATTATTAGTGAAGAAATCCACTGGATAATTTACTGAAGAGGAAAAGGCAGCAGTTTTAAATAGGAAAAGTTCAAGGTGATTGTACTTACTACCATTTTAGTATGCTTGATACGGTGGATTGAAATCATAGTTGGACTGGTAGTTAACACCAGCCTGATTTTTCAGTGATTAAGACAATGTTTTCTTAGGCCCAAGGGAGGTCTAGCATCCCAGAGTTACTCAATGTTCATGGTTCCTTATCAGTTTTAGGGAGTTAGAGCCAGATGGAGTAAAACATAACAGTTGTCCTATCTCCTGGGAAAGCGCTGCTGTCAGGGGAAAACTTTCCTCTATACATCCAAGCGTCCCTTCAACTATGGCGTTATCCATGAATTGACATAGCCCCCCCAATCTTTCCATTCCTATATCCCGTTTTGGAAGGAAGCAGGGAATGGGAAGGAAATACAAAAGAATGATTTTTCCAAAAGGTATTTAGTTACCAAAAAAAAAAAAGTGTTTAAATATTGGGTGGGATTGAATTTATCATATTCTGCTGTTACTGCTTTTTTTCTTTGCTCTCTTGTGAGGTGAGAAGTGAAGGAGCTCAGAGAAAACACAGACCAGTTACAGAACATGATGAAGCTGTCTCCTTTGTATATCTGAGAAGAGTGTAAATAAATGTGTGACCTTGCAACATAAACACCGTAATACTTAATTCTCAAGACAAGCTTGCATTGCCTATTGCCACTTTGCAGAATATGAGCCTGATGTTCAGAGACACTAAGGGAAGTGGCAAAGTTCACCCACCCAGTAAGGGAAAGATTGGCAGTAACACAAGTTTGTCTGCTTTCATAGTCCTATGTTTCCAAAATACCAAAACGTTTCTTGAGTAGACTTAATCCAAGGTATAATCATTGTTCCCTCAAATTAGTAAGAATTTCCTAAAGGAAATTATTCTTCAAGAAAGGAAAATGGGTTTCTTATTTCCCATTAGTTTATTTTTAAAATAAGTGGACTTTATAATCCTCAGTAACTTTTAATATTTCTTCCACACCCAATTCTTTTTTTCCCTCCTCTTTAAT